AGAGAGAAATTGATGAATAAAAGCAATTATAAAGACAGTTTAGTTGTGAGTACTGAGCAAGCCTTACCCACTACTGTTATCAACATTGCATTTTACTGTATCGGTGGGGCTTGGTATAAGAATAAAAAACCAAAAGTAACGAGCTGTGTATCTGGAACTTATCATTCTGCATGACTGTGGCAGCTTCATGCACAGGCTTGTTAACATCGAAAAATTTCCGTGGTTATCACGATGCAACATTTGAGCAACACTTCCTTATTACAAGATAATGGTGTGACACAATTGTCAGTAATTCTGTAAAACGTTATCGCTTCCACATAACCCCTGGAAACTATCACTGTTAACGATGTCAAACAAGTTTTGAAAATGGTTTTTTTAAAATCAACTTTCCCTGCTCTTGGCTTTAACTGCAGCTGCTGTTCAACTCTGTTACGGCACTATACATGCTTCGGTCTACATAATGCTGCTTTTCCTCGCTATAGCGTTTAAAATGATTGTAATTGACGAAATTAGATGAGATAACAAAAAAGGTAGATTATAATTTAAAAATTACATGCGTTTCACTGTAAAAAAAAATTTTTTTAAAAAAAAAAACATTTTATGATGTTATAAAGGTTAAAAAAAGTTTTGGCTACTTTTTTCCTACATGCTTCAGAAGCTGTGAATAAATTGGTTTCGGTTTGGTAAATATGCTTTAGTGGTTTTTTTTTTTTTTGACAAAAGAGAACTACAACAGAGAAGAGGTTATTAACAATAGTTGGGCTAACCGTTTTGAGAAATATAAAATCTAAAGTGATGTTTAATAGCTTTGATGCAGAACAAGAAGGTTTTTTTTTTAATGAAACAGCTAAAGAAAAAATTTTTCCAGTTGAACTGAAACAAACAAGCTACAAATAAGTCTACTGCCACCACTGTAAACGACATTTTATAAACGAAGTTTGATAAGAGAGATAGTAAATTGAAAAAAAATTTCTTAAGTCAACTAAATATTCGAAATTTCTAAATACGATAAATATTTTTATCTGTTATTTGTTTTTTGGAAAAAATAAAGCAAAAATGCTTTTTATTGAAACGTCAAATATTTGTGCCAGCAGCAACTTATATACTTGTGAGAACAGTCGTTTAGTTCAGAAACCTTGATAATTTTATTTTATCCGCAGTAGTTGCGTTTACAACCAGAGAAACACACTTTACAGTTTAAGTAGCTCGTTTTACACTGACTAAAGACCAAGCTAGAAATTTGTTGAAAAGTTCGTTTGTTGCCCAATGTTTTTCAGCATTATATGGTAACGAGAATATTTAATTTATCAAGTTCCCTGCTTTAAAAAAGTAGCAAGTTTCATTCCAAAAACAAATTTACTAGTTTGTGCAGACAAATAGCATAGTTTTTTTAATAGCAAAAACTTGATTTTGCTCTGAAAAAATTGCAGTTTGTCAAAATTTTTTGTAACAAAAAGACTATAAAAAGTCCTAAAGAAAAATTCAGTATATTACTTCAAACGCATTCCTTTAACAGCTAATTCAACTTTTTCAAAGCAGTAAATTTGTTATACCATAAAGGAAGACTGAGAAGAAGTAGACTCTTTTGGAAACTTAAATTTCTATCATGTGCTACTAAGACTTTCATAAAAAATTTTTCTTAAATTTTCATCTCTTTTGGGAAATTTTTTGTTAAAAATAGTTTTATTGAAGCAATAAATCTTGCATCCTTGTTATTTTTTCTGTTTTATCTTATTGTATTTAAAAAAACAGATGATGTACTTGAACAAACACACACTGAAGGCCTCTACAACTATATTGCCTCTTCCTCAACCATAAAAGTTTTCTTGTCTTGGCAGAAAACTGGTCATAAATGCCTGCCAAAATTTGATTCTTTCTTAACGGCTTCTCGAATCGTCATTCTAATAGAACCATTTCATCCGTCCAGTGGCTGCATCCTTTCCTGGCTGCCAAAACATCAATTTTTTCTTAGTAGCTCAGATGTTCAGCCAAAGAGCCAACTTTTATGTGTTTACTCTCCTCTAAAGTATATCGCTCTCTCGCCGATCTTACACAGTGAACAAAAAAAAAAAATGCTGCCGGACTACCTTAGAAAACAAAGATCGCCAACTAGATGTTGTGTATTAGGTAGAAATACTACTTTTTGCTGAGCATTATTAATTTGTTGAAACAGTTACAATGCTGACCTCTCATTCGGAGACGTTTTAAATGCAAGCCGTACTGCAAAATAAGACAGAACGGTACGCTGGCTGATACAAATAAGTCTTACAAAGGAAACGTAGAAATCAAGCTAACATTGCAAAGAAATTTGTAGTTCAAAGCAATAGCCGTAATGAAACCTTCCGCCGAGTTTGAACTCCGTAATAGACGAACCTGCAAAGAATCACTAGCTATTAAGAGTCAGTTAGCGCCGCTCAGATTAAAAACAGCACCTAGACTAGAGCTGAACACATTAGCTGAAAGTAGCGAACCTCTTTATTGGGACATCGTGAAAAATACTTCCAACCATCAAGAATTATCAATCCAAGCTTCACTTTTCCTCCAAAACCTGCTTAAGCGTGACACGCTTCGTTCTGGACTGCGTGATCTTTTTCTATATGT